GCCTGGCACAGAGGTGAGACTGACTGGTCTGCAGCTCTCTCGGTCTTCTCTTTTCCCCTTTTTGAAAATGGGGGTTATATTACCCTTTTTCCAGTCATTGGGAACTTCACCTGACTGCCATGACTTTACGTGACTGCCATACTTGTCAACTTACTACTGCTAAATAGGATTTATGATGAATGGCTTCTGATGGCTTTTCCATCAACGTTTTCTCTCTCTACTACTCAGTCAGTACTTTTACAAGACTTGTAAAAAAGTGATGATTTATGACATCTTTCTCTGATTTCAGCGCTGATTGAACTTAGCCAGTGTTCTATTAAATTATTTGGGAACTGGCAGACAGGTGAGCAGAAAGACAGTATAACCTTGTTTCCTTTCGAAAATCAGGTCAAAACCAAAACGTGTCTTCTGCAGAGGCAGGGATACTTCCAATTATATCTGCTGAATACTTACATGGCTATCCAAGATAGTCAGATCTAACAGAGACATGTATTTACCAATTGGGAATTTAGCCTGCTTTCCCATAAGTACAGAAATGCCTTGTTATGAGCTGCAAATTTAAAGTCAAATACCTGTAACTTGTAGTTTGTAACAGAACACAAAACCTACAGGAAATTGAATCAAATGTTAGAAGTGCATTTTTGAAAAGGTTGCTGAGATTTTCAACTCCATGCAATTGTGAAATTGGTGACTTACCTGTACCCTTTCAAAATCATTATCCAGCTCATGATTAAACATATAAGAGATGACAACACACCAACGACGATCCACACAACCATATCTTTTACTCTATATTCTAAGAAACAAACAGAGTTATTTAAAGATGCACATCTGCTGTATGCATAGTCAGCATGCAAAAAAGGTCTCAAATTACTTTTATTTTAAAAATTGGTCCAAACTGCCAAATGTTTGGAACCTTTACTAGCATAGGTGGATCTCAGCAATCCTTGTAGTGTCTGATAATAAATATGCTTTTCATTAATAGCACTGTGCAGGAAATAAACTCTCTTCGAAAAATGATACAAAAATGTATGAAGAGGGAAATGCTGTCACAATCAGTTATAGCAATTGGGTTCAAATCTGATTACTCCAATACTGTTGTCATTTAATTATCAAATATATATCACACAATTAATTAAATGGTGGGTTAAATGATCTAGGACTAGATACTTTTAAGGATTTCTATGGTAACATAACACTTTTTACATTGAGGTGTTTATTTCAATTTCGTTCCAGATAAAAAGTAATTAAAAGCTGTTACTGTCTAAAGGCAGTCACTCTTTGTCTTCCGTGTAGCAGTTTTAAATGCAGTTACTGGTATTCTTTTAATTAAAAACTACCATCGTGAGAACAAATGAGCCTTTAAACAGAAAGGACATTGTTTAAGTAAGTAAAGGAATTGATTTAGCTTCTGAACTCCAAAAAGTAAGAGAGGGGAAAGCTGACTGGGTAAGGTGCAGGGACACTGAGAATTCAGTTACCTTAGCAATGATCTTACCTGTCCTAGCGAAACTATGGGATGTCAATCTGCATGGGTGCCACAGACAGCTAACAGAAGTATTATGTGAACTTCCATGTAACAACAATTACTGAAGGGATGCCTGGCCACTCACCAGTCGGGATTTGAATATACTTTTCTGGGCTCCATTCACTCCATGATCCATGGTGATCTGGTTTGCAATGAATCTGCATAATGTATGTCTTTCCAGGATTTAAACTAAACATTTTATACTGTGTTTGCTGTCCAACAAAAACAGTCTGGAAATTAAATAAAAAATCATAAAATGCCTATAAAATTGAGACATTTTTCTGTGAAAATCACAGCTGGGTTTAAATCTTTGTAATGAAGCTGTGAATAAGGAACAAATCAGGATAGCTTCCTAGTAGTTGTCATGCAGGCATAGACTAATGGTACGTTTATTTTATTTCTATAGTTCAGCTTTCTAACATAATTGAGTGGGAATGAGATCTGCCTCTGGTATACTGTGCAAATTAAACTACTACAAAAACACATCATGAGCATAGGGCAAATTGGGAGAAACCATGGTAATGGTGGGAACTCCAGTGGTAAGTGGCAAGGAACAGAGATGGGGAAGAAAATGAAAAGAGAAAAGAAGGAACGTGGAGTTGGGAATGCACAGGGTATTAAAAAGTGGATCTTCAACGGCAAGAGGGTGGGAACTTCAGTGGCAGGAGGAAGGAAGGGATAGAGATGTCTGGAAAGCACTGCAGCAGGTAAGAAGGGAATGCAGCAAAATATGAATAGCTATAGTATTTAGTTTGCTGCCCAGTTGTGTGAGTTGCAGATCCTGGATGTATACAATTATTATGTGGCCAGGACAACCATCATCCAGCGGTTATTTGTACAAGCTTACATGATTTTACATAATGTCACTGAGCTTTCTGCTACCTAAGTACTACTTGTAGTTAAGAACAAGTTATCAAAAAGAATCCTGACTAAATGAGAACAAATGATTTAAACCATAATGCCAATACGGTTAATATATATATAATGGTCACAATTAAAAATACTTTATCACCTGCTCTCACAACAGCATCTGAGATACTAGTAGTCTCAGCAGGTAATTGCAGATTACACGCAAGCACTTCTGAACAATGATGAACTATTTGCTGTGCCTGCTTCATTACACTCAGTTGTGTGACCTGGCTGACAAAATCTTATCGACCAGAAAACACCATCTAGTGAAAACTTGCAACATCCTCACCTCCCATTCCTCTCCTTCTTGAGGCTTGAGTCGCAACTCATATTCAAGGGTAAGCCATCCAGATCTGACATCAGCCAGTGGGGGGGGAGACCATGTCAAGATTAGATATGGTTTTCTGTTTACTGACTTTTTTAATTCCAAAGTTATGTTCACAGGAGGATCTGGCTGTACTGTTAAAATAAAGGAACTGTCAATAAGAGTCTAAATTACTTTTTCCTTGCATAGTAGGAATATAAAGTGGTGTGAGTGGTTAGTTACCACTTCTTGTGTCTAGTCATTTAGAAATGGTGCTGGAATACAGGGATCAAGAGTTTCCTGATAAAGTAAGCACGGATTTATAAATTTAACGAAAAAACTGAAGAATAGTTCATATGTTGAGTTCATGTTGAGATTTGCCTTAATCATTTATCACCATAAATAAATTTTTCTTACATTACATTTATTGTTGCTTTTCTAACTGTGTTTCAAAGTTAACATCTTCAATGCTGTGTTATGAAAGCTGTGTTTTCCCATAATTGTATCAAAGTCGGCATATATATCTAGGAATGCTGAAAACACAGATGTAGGTGATGAAACCTGTACCCCCCCCCCCCCCCCACTCTTAT